GGTGGCCATGGCTTTTTTTTTTAAGAAGGGAGGAGACATAAGTTTTTAAGAAGTGAATTATTATTATTATTACTATTATTATTATTGAGTCAAGATCTTGCTCTGTCACCCAGGATGGAGTACAGTGGTATGATATAGCTAACTACAGCCTCAGCCTTCTGAGGTCAAGCTATCTTCCTGCCTCAGCCTCCCAAGTAGCTAGAACTACAGGGGCACACCATCATTCCTGGCTAATTTTTTTTTTTTTTTGTAGAGACAGGGGCTCATTGTGTTGCCCAGGCTGGTCTCAAATTCCTGGGCTCATGTGATCCTACCACCTTGGCCTCCCGACATCCTGGGATTACACAGGTAAGCCACTCTGCCAGGCCAAGAAGTGAATTTTGAAATGAAGTTAAAACAATATTCTGGAGTGGCAATGGTGCGTGAGCCAGAAACTACCTGAATCCACAGCCAGCATGTGAACTTAGGAGCTTCCTCCTCCTGAGAGGTACAAAAGACTTGTGGATCTCTCAAGAAAGTCAGGTATCAGTAAGAGTGGAGACAAGGAGGCACTGGGGAAAAGTGGGAAATGCATAGATATTGTCCGGTGATCGAACCAAAGAACTCCCAGAAATCACAGGAGGGAAGGCACCAGGAAAGTATGTGTCATGGAAGAGTTCAGGTCAACAGGTGTAGGGGAGGAGCGTGAACAGCAAGGGAAGAGACGCACAGGCAAGTGGCTCTGGTGATGACTAAGAAGAGCATAAGAAAGTAGGAGAGGGAGCATTGTGTGGTCATGAGATCGGAGTTTTGGAATCCTGCTTAGGTATGTGGCTAAGAGGCTAGCAAGTTAGTGTGTCGTGTATCAGGATATTTATGTGACAAGTGACAAAACACCTACTTTAATCCAGCTTAAATTATAATGAGATTTTTTTTAATCTTCCAAACTGGAAATTCCAAAAGAAGGGTAGCTAGCATCCTAGGGATTATTTGATTCAGCGGCCCAATGATGTCATCAAGGGCCCAGTTTCTCTGCTGTACCTTTCAGGTAGTAGCGTCAACCTAAAACTGGCTCCACTGCATGGTCACAAGATGGCTGCCAACAACACTGGGGACTGTATGTTTCCTTTCACACATCTAGAGAGAAAGAGTCTATTTGATAATATTGTCAGAAAAGTGAGAATGCCTCTTTTCCTTGAGCTCAACAAATCTCTCCTGGAGTCTCATTTGAGTAATGTGTCCAATCCTGAACCAATTCCTACGATCTGGAAATACCACGTGTTGACTGGGGGGCACTAGTTACCAGAAGCAATCATCACAGGAAATTACCCTGATTGGTGGGGAATGAAAGGTACACTCACGCTGTTGGAGCAGAGTCAGCATCCCCTGAAGGACATTGGCTGTTGAGAAAGGAGTGTGGCCAATAGAAATCTGTGTATTGTTAGGAAGGGGGAAAAGAAGAAGTAATGCTGAATAGATTCCTAAGAGTATCCACCTCACTACCTCACCAAGCTGGCAGGAAAATTAAATGGATACTTTGTGAAGATGCCTTGCTTTTTCCTTCTGAAATGGTTCTTGGAGGTAAAGACACAGAAGAAACCTGAAGGAAAGAAGAAAAGTGGATGGGGAGGAGGTAAGCAGAGAGAAATTTGAGAAGGATCCAAAAAGTCAATGCAAGAGGCAGTGAAGGTAGATGGGCTGGAGATGAGAGTGGATGTGTACAGAACACATCTGTCTTGATTCTCAGAAGAGGAATATTCTTTTGACACCTCCCAAGTTCCTCTTTTCCAAGAGCTGATGAGGGACAAATGGGTTCATCGCTATACCTGCCTATGCCCCCAAATGTTCAGTGGCTCCCAGCTGTGTACTGAACTAAAGCTATTTGCTTCACCCTGGAATTCAGCACTCTGGATTAGGAATCAAGCCTGTTAGCCTCGTTTCTAATTATCTGCCTATACAGATCTCTCTGTGCTCCAGACAAATTGGACTTTTGGTTGCTTCACGATGGCTCCGGAACCTGCTCTCCTTCTGTCTCTGTGCAGGCGCTTTCTCTGCTTTGAATGTTGCTCTATCTTCCCTGGTTGAAACCTTCCATCTTGAAAGCCAAGTTCATATGCTTATTCTCTGATGTAGCTTTCGTTGGTCCCTTCAGGCTCATGTCCTCATTCTCTCCTCACCAGGTTGTTCCCAGTGTTTATTATTTTTATTTTTTTATTTATTTTTGAGTCGGAGTCTCACTCTGTCGCCCAGACTGGAGCGCAGTGGCCGCTTCCAGCCACCGTAGCCTCGACCTGCTGGGCTCCAGTCATCCTTCTGCCTCAGCCTTCCGAGTAGCCGGAACTACAGGCATGAGCTACCACGCCCAGTTGAATTTTTTACTTATTGTAGAGATGAGGTCTCGCTGCCCAGGCGGGTCTCGAACCCACGGGCTCAGGCAATCCACTCACCTCAGCCTCCCAAAGGCGCAGGATTACAGGCTGAGCCACCGAGCCCAGCTCAGTGTTTGTTATTAGTGTGCTTGTCTCACATGCTCTAGATTGTCAGATTCTTGAGGACAGTGACTGTTCTCATTGTCCATGTTCATTCTTTATTTGCTCGTTTAAAAAAATCTGTGGCCAGTTGTAGTGGCAGCACCTGGAGTCCCGGGACTTGGGAGATCGAGGTGGGAGAACAGCCTGAGCCCAGGCGTTCATGTCCAGCCTGACATGAACATAGTGAAACCTGTCTCTAGCATGCGGGGGTGAATAAGAACAGCATTCAGTAAATATTGGTTGAGTTGAATGCTGCTGAAATGGGACTTGCTAGCTGATGGGATTCCAGTAATGGGGTTAAGCTGCACTGATGAATTCACAGTCCCTCAGTTGACCTTCTGGTCTCCCTTACTCTGATGAGCCTTACACTCACATAAAAGCTGAGCTTTCCCTGCCGAAGTGAAGGAAATAACTGAGACAACTTAGTGAGACAGCTTGTAGATTGGTCAGGAAAAAAAAAATTGGCCTTTGAAATTATTGAGTCATTTCAGTTTTTATTCCAGGGTTATACAAAGTATTGTCATCTGTATTATTTAGGAGTAGCTTTCAACTTTTCTGCCATGTGGTGAAAAACATTTCATATCACAACTTAAATCATATATATACTTTCATTCACTTGTTCAACATATTGAACACCTACTATATGCCAAATTCTATTATGTGTGGAATACAGTAGTGAACGAAGTAAAACAGGGAGAAAGAAAAGGAGGAAGAGAAGGGAAGAGACAAAAATCCTTGCCCTCAAAGAGGAAACATACTAGCGTAATAGACAATAAGCAAAATAAGTAAAAACACACATATATGAACAAATAAACAGAAGACTCATGAAACAAAGCCACCAATTACTATATGCAGTACACTCGGATGTTTTCTTTTTCTTTTTTTTTTTTAAATGCCGATCACACTAAGTTGACTTCTTCACTCAGTAATGGGTTGAGATTTACACTTCAAGAAATACTAGCCGGGCTCGGTGGCTCAGCCTGTAATCCTGCGCCTTTGGGAGGCTGAGGTGAGTGGATTGCCTGAGCCCGCGAGTTTGAGACCCGCCTGGGCAGCGAGACCTCATGTCTACAATAAATCAAAAAATCAGCCGAGCGTGGTAGCGCATGCCTGTAATTCCGGCTACTTGGAAGGCTGAGGCGGAAGGATCGCCGGAGCCCAGCAGGTCGAGGCTGCGGTGGCCGAAAGCGGCCACTGCACTCCAGTCTGGGCGACAGAGTGAGACTCCAACTCAGAAAAAAAAAAAAAGAAATACTGGTCTAGATAATTTATGACATAGGCAGAACATGTGGTTCCCATTCTACAGATGGAGAAACATGCAGAGAAGCTAAGTGAGTTACCCAAATTCACCCACAGTCAGAGGGACACTGCTGAAACTTCACCTCAGGGCTTTCTGAGTCTACTGCTGCCCTCTCCATCGCCCTCTGCAGTCCTTGCAACTGGTTCAGTTCCCACTTCTCTTTGATATGAAATCTTGACCTTTGCCTGGGGTGCTCTTCCCTCTCTTGCCAGGTAAAATCATACAGATACTTCTAGGCCCATCCAGGATGCCTCTCTTGTGTTACTACTGCATTCTGGCTTGCTTTATAACTACTGGTGGACCACAACAGGATCCTCTTCACTGTGACCTCCTTAAAGAGCAGGTCGCACTTATCTTTGTGTCCCTCAAAGCACAGTGCTTTACAGAGTGGGGACTGACAAACACATAGGGAACTGAATTGAATTTGTAAGTGGTTCAGAGCGGAGGGACAGAGGAAAGTGCTTCTAACCAGGACTACATGATTTAGGCCAAATCTGTTTAAAAGGCTGAGTCTAGAAAGGATATCACTGGTAAAAAGATCTCCTTACCTAAGTTACAGTCACACATTAGGCAGAGACTTCAATAGTGTAAAAACTATACATATGTTTTATCTCCCTAGAGACAGATTTAGAACCATGTCAGTATGTTGCAGATTACAGAGAACAGCAACTTGGTGAAATTAATTCAAGAAAATCAGCCAGGTGCGGTGTCTCACGCCTATAATCCCAGCATTTTGGGAGGCCGAGTAGAGAGGATTGCCTGAGCCCACAGGTTCGAGACCAGCCTGGGCAACTTGGCGAGACCTCATCTCTATAATAAATCAAAAATTAGCTGGGCATGGTGGCATGTGCCTGTAGTTCCAGCTACTTGAAAGGCTGAGGTGGAAGGATCATCTGAGCCCAGCAGGTCAAGGCTGCAGTGGCCATAAGCATGCCACTGTACTTCAGCCTGGGCGACAAGAGTCAGACTTTGACTCAAAAAAAAAAAAAAAAAAGAAGAAAGTGAGTTACCTTATAAAAGGAAGGCCAAGGAGTAACTGAGGGACTAGAGAAAGGACCTCAGCAGCAAGAGTAAGGTTATCTTTACTGTGACGGTGACCATTACAATGGGGACACCTGCCACCTCACCCAGATGAAGGAAATCAGTTCAAATGCTCAAGAGTAGGATGGAGCTATGTGGTTGGTGAAATATTTAGGGAAGGAAAAGAAACTCTCTGAAAAGAAAGTAGAATTTTGACTAGAGGATGGGAATCAAGGCCAAGATAAGGTCATTTATAAAAAGTTATATAAAATACTATATCTATGATATAGTATAAATATAATTTTAATCCTATTAAAAGTTAAAAAAAATACAGGTTTTAGCTAAATGACTGCTAAGTTTCAGGGATATACAGACCCATGTATACAAGCAAATCATGAAAATTTTGTACAAGTATGTTATAGAATTCTCTAACCCATGATTTTCAGATTTTATTTTCAATCAGATTCTAATTCTGTAGGACTAGGGTAGGGAAGTGGGGACTACATATTTAAACAAGCACCTCAGTTTCTGTTAAAGATCAGTCATGCTGAGACACTTGTTTAACCTAATTCCTTCCTAAAGTAATTAAAAAGGGGCTCAACTTGCGTAAGTTTTAAATTAGAACAATAAAACCACACAGGCACACTGTTTATGTGGTGACACTAAATAAGAGCATGTACAAATTTTAAATCCACCACATTTTTGTCATTGTTTTTAATAATATTTAGTCACATCATTTATAATGGCCTATGTTTATAAAAGGCTTAAGACTAGTTGGTAATTTAGTCTTATCTTGGGTTTCCTTTTAAAATTGAAATTAGGAGAAGTAGTTATGAGTTCACAAAGAGTATTTCAGGATGATGATATGTTGACTATAAACTCAAAAGGTACACTGACACTGATCCTATAAACAGCAACTATGAATGTCACTTATTTAAGCCTACCAATTCATATTTTTAAAAAGCACCCTTGTTTCTTTAAAGCTAAGCACTACAAATGGTTCTTGAAATATCTGTCACAGACATGATATTAATATATTCAGTCAAACTTGTTGGGGGCTGGGAGCATTGCAAAGAAGTTAGTCACAGGCAGCATCATCAGTTCCTCAGATGACACGGATTCCAAAGCTCTCACCGTCCTAGTTACTCTTCTCTTTGCTTTCACTGACATATTCCTTTCTTTTAAAGAAGCAAGACGTACAAAAGTTCGCCAAAATTCTGGAAGTCACAGTTTGTATAGCACTGAAAGATAGTAGCTTTGGCATCTGATATTACAAAGTCACTTTCATCACAAATACTTTCTTCATTCTGGGTCAAGACGAGGTAAAACGGGAAGAATAAGATTCCCAAATGCAGAGTCTTGCGTTATGAAGTATCCAGATGAATGTGCATGAGCATGCTGGGAAAGATTTTTTCAGAAAGGTAATTAAGCTATTTAGAATCACAATTTTTCAACCAAGGCATTAAAATTACTTATCCTTTCTGAGTGCTTGAGACCACATTTATTTACAACTCAGTTCCTATGCTGCTAATTTTGTTTAAATACTCCAGAGATGAACGATAATACAGAATTTGGATTAACAAGTTGCACCAGGTACACATTTGTCATCCCCACCCTCTCCTCTCAATTCTCCACAGTCAATGAGTCAACAACATGAACTGCTTTGTTCTTTAAAATGAGGAAAACTAGCATCAAAGGTCCCAAAGTACTCTGTTCTTGGCCAACAAAGCAGAACTTGAGAAAGGGTAGCAGTTGGAAGGAGAGGGGGAAAAAGTAGTGATTACTAATTATTAAAATACTAACATTTTGTAGAGAATGGTGGAATGTAAAAACAGAAAACCACCAGCAACTTTTCTCTGTCATTAAAAAAAAAGGAGTTTTTAGGTCATCTAAAGTGATATGGTCTTTGAAATGTTCCTTCCAATTCTAGAATTCTAAGGTTTCAAAGCACAGCAATTAAATTACGTCTATGAAAAAAACGACGTCTTGTCTAAGGTCTCTGAGAGTCTTAAATTATCAAGATGAATGTAACACTAAAACAGTTTATTACTCTGAAGAAATTTTTTTTAACTGATAAAGCATCACATTCCTAATCCTACAGTAAGAGTTAGCCTTTAAACATTTCCTGCACAACAGTTGTGCTAACCATTAATAAAATAATCCAAACAACAATAAATAAGCCAATATGACTATCAAAGGATGAAATGACATGGCAAATTTGAAAATACATATGTATTATTAAATTAGCTAGTTCAATTTTTAAGATCATTCTTGCCCATCCAAATATTCTAAACTCTTTTGTGCACAAGCAATCCCTTGGCAAGTACAGCACAGAATCAATCATGACGGCGTCAACGCCATAAAGACACTTTCATTACTGCTGTGTGGGTCCTTCACGTCCTTTGGGCTTGACTGAACATCAGCAAACCATTGCAATTATGTGTGGAACATTTTTATTGACGTTGCTCCACTAAAATATAAAATAACTACTGTGCTGGCTTCTAAAACCCAGGACATCTCCAAAGAGACCAGAACGGTTACATTTTGCTCACCTGCAAAGCTGCCTTCTGCTGGGCTGCAATATGCTGCTGCTCTGCGTGATCCCGGAAGTCCTTATTAAGGGAGGGTCTTGAGAGAGCAATGCTAAAACGGGAAGCTCAGTTATTTGGCTGCTGAAGGCAAAGGCATTCTGACTTTTTTTTTTTGATGGAAGTAAATTATTTTTTTTAATTGAAGTATAGATGACAAATAAAAATAGCATATATTTGCAGTGTGTGCAGTATTTTAATATTTGTATACATTGTGAAATGGCTAGATCAAACTAACATATCCCTCACCTCCCATACTTACCATTTTTAGTTGTGGGAACAATTAACATCTATTCTTTTGGGCAATTTTCAAGTATACATCATTAACTATAGTCACCATGCCGTACAACCTGTCTCTTAAAGGGATATCCCTACTTCTGAATCACATTTTTCATTATATATTCTTTATGGGGATAAAAAAGACCTCCCAGAATAAGTCTTTTTTCCTCCCACTATGTACATTAATTTATATGGAGAAAGCCAATGTTACTGACTGGGATTTCAAATGATCTTTTTTTTAAAAAAAATTGAAGTTTATGGTCCCCTACTTTCAAGCAGTCTATCAATCATGATCCCTATTAACATTATTTTAAAAAACAGTTAAGTCACATATATTTATCAACAGTAAAACCACACTTTTTATATGATAATAATTAAACTTGATTTATCGTAGTCGTGTTCCACATAGGTTAAGCTATTATAAATAAATAATCTAACTTAAAGGCACTTATTCACCAGATTCCAAAGCAGCTACTAGATGCCTGGCTCTGTGCTAAATGCTAGGGGCACACAAATAATGCAAGACAAAGTTCACAGACAACAGCAGTCATGATGAGATGTGATGCATGCTGTAATAGGGGACTTCACAAGAACACAATATAGCTAGAAAAATAATGGTCAGGAGAAAAAATGTAGCCCTTATCCTAATAGTAACAGGAGACCCCAAAGAGTATTAAGCAGCAGGGGAGTAGAAGTATGACACTACAGTTCAGAAAGACCACTACCGACAGTGTTGGTCACCTCCTCAACAGCTGTAGTACCCTTCCTCCTTGCTAATGAAACCCAAACTAGGTTCAGTTATCAGTGGTCATATGCATCAGGGCAGGCCAGGCTCATGTCCCAGGGGGTGGACCTTTCAATGCCATTCCCCTTGCTGGTTTCTGGTTTAGGCAAGAGAAAAGTACATAATCTGGGCAACCAGACTTGATAGGTGATCTGTCAGAGCATGTGGGAACATTTTCCTTACTCTTACATACCACAAGAACCTTTCTGGTTTTTGCCTCTACAAAAGGCAAGGCAGGAGGATTCTGGCAAGGCAGAATTGCCTAGTGACTATGATGCTTAGACTACTGCAGTCATATTCTGACCTACACAGAGCCACTGGCCCATAGAGTAAAGCAGAAAGGAAAGATAAAGGAAGTTGAATCACTGATGACACTGTTGTGGTCACTCATTAAGACATTTTGGAATGACCTTACTTTCACACTCCTGGTTGACAAATATACTAAAATGTCAATACCAATTTTGTTGCTTTTCTGTTACTTCCAGATTAAGCCATCCTGCCACAACTGATGAGTGTATTCAAGATGAGTAAGACCACAGGAAATTTAGTGAGAAAGCAGTAAAGTAATTAAGGTCAGAAATGAGACTGGCCAGGAACCATGAAAGTATCAGTAGCAATGAAGAAAAATGGACAGATTTAAGGCTACTTGGAAGGCTGAGGCAGAAGGATCGCCGGAGCCCAGCAGGTCGAGGCTGTGGTGGCCGGGAGCGGCCACTGAACTCCAGTCTGGGCAACAGAGTGAGACTCCAACTCAAAAAAAAAAAAAAAAAAGAAAAGAAAAAAGAAAAATTTCAAAGTATTATCACAAGAAAATTGTAAATGCTTGGGGGTAGAAGTGAAAGAGAATAATAATTAGAGTTCACAACTTCTGACTTAGGTAACTAATAGTAGTTACCAAACTACTATTTACTGAGACAGGAAATCCAAGAATATTAAGCAGCAGATTGGAGAGAGGGAAAGGAGGATGAGTTCAATCTGGGTCACACTAAAGGTGAAATGCCTGTGAGAAACTGAAGAAGAGATGTCCGGGAGGCAGTAGTGGTGCTTTGAAGAAAGGACTGGACTTGAGCTGCAAATGCGTAAGTTATCAGCATGTAAACAACAGGCTGTGGGAGTGGATGCAGCTGTCCATGCAAAATGTAGATTGGGAATCCTGGTCTGGAACAGAACTCAGAGGAATGTCAAAACTGAAGGGTCAGGTGGTGGAGAAATGTCTGCAAAAGAAATCAAGATGGTCTCCTCATATTGCTTTTTGTATTCTAAGAGTAAGCAAATGGAAGCCAAGGAAAGAGTACTTTTTAAGAAAGAGGGAGTAGCTTGTAATCCCAGCTACTCAGGAGGCAAGGTGGGAGGATTGCTTAAGCCTGGGAGTTCAAGGCTGTAGTGAGCTATGATAGTACCACTGCACTAGCCAGGATGACAGAGCAAGACTGCATTCCTGTTTGGAAGGAAAGAAAAAAAAGAAGAGGGAGTGATCACTGATGTCAAATAACTCTAAGATGTCTGGTCTGCCTCAGCAAACATTTTTTCTTTTTTTTGAGTTGGAGTGTCACTCTGTCACCCAGACTGGAGTGCAGTGGCCACCCCCGGCCACCGCAGCCA